AGCAGCTGACTGGGGGACGCTTGGGGTTCGTAAGTTGATTCTGTATGTAAGTCAGAACTGGTGGTCAGTTTCAGCAGCGGCTGAATCTGGAGCTAGTTCCGACTTACATACAAATTCAACTTAAGAACAAACCTATAGTCCCTATCTTGTACGTAACCCGGGGACTGCCTGTATGCAAATTCTTACCCTAAGCTGTTGATCTAAACATCTTTCACAAGCAAACAGCCTCCTACTTGGGGCTTGAGCCTCCCCTGGGTTCAATTTTAAATGCTTCTAGCAGACATCTTAGGTAGTAAGTGGGGTTCTCTGGCACCTGGAGATTAGGGATGTTAAAATGCATTTAATTATGTAATGTGTAACTGCTGACAATCTCTTTCTTTCCCCCCCCACCCCCATCGCCCCACCACTGCCTCTGTATCAGAGTCCGGGGTGGGCAATAAGCATGGATGTGCCACAGGCTCACCACATGTGGTCCAAGGATGCTTCTTAACCAACCCTGAACAAGTCCATAGGCAAATTAATTAATTTTGATACAGCTCCCACCAACAGAAAGCTACGTATCACCCTTCAGTGTGCTACCTTATTTAAACCCTTTCATTAGTCTCAAATATTTTCAACAGGAAACCAGGACATGTACATAGCTCATAAGAATGCTGGACAGTCTATTCTGTTTCAGATATTAGCCATGTCAGAGAAAAACAGACATGTTCTATGCCAGGAACTTTAATACATAGATGACTGGGGTCATGAAATCAAGTTACTTTGTCATGTACCATTCTTCTGTAAGTCACTGTTATTAAACTTATCAATAAAAAAGTGATATGTGCAAGACTTTGTCTTTAGCTTTTTTCCTTACCACTGTCACTCACTCGACAATAACGTTTCTTTTTATTTATTGTGATTGTTCTAATACATAACTAAGTTTGTGTGTAAAGATTAAACAAAATGTCATTCTTATATGAACTATACAGTTTTTATATGGTATCTTTCACTCTGAAGAATCCTAAAGTGTCTTAGAAAACTTATAAACAAACATTCTAAACATAAAGGGTCATTTTGCTGCAGTTCAGAAATGAATTCTGTTAAACAGCTCACAATAACCCAGCACAAATATCTGGAACAAAAATACTGCATTCATTTGAAGTTACAGGAGGAGTTGAAGTTGTAGAAGGATTTATGTAGGCAGAATGTAAGTATCTGTAACTGAATTTGTCATGAAACAAAGAACAGGACTATGTAACACTTTAAAGACTAACAAGATGGTTTATTAGATGATGAGCTTTTGTGGGCCAGACCCACTTCCTCAGATCAAATAAGTTATCCACCACCTTTTTATGGAAGTACCAACAGCTTTGTCTCAACCAAAAGTACAGTGCTCCATAATTTAAGAAGATGGAGCTACAACCAGAAAAATTAATGGGTATTTCTTCCACCAGCAGCACAGCTCTGTCAGTGTTGGAAGCTGTAGTAAGCAGGATGCAAATATTTTTACTACTGCATTGTCTGATGCAGTGGAAAATACACCTGAACCTTCTTTAAGCTTCCTCAGCTGCAGCAAAATGCTTGAGTTGTTTCTAGTGTACATGAAGCAGTAGCGAGGTTTGGTAGCAGTTAATGATACAATTGTTCACATTGAATCACTAACTTAATCACAGCTACATCTCCTCTCTAAAGGGAAATCCTGGCCACATTAAAGTAAACGATGAAACTCTCATTGGCTTCAGCAGGCCCACGATTTCATTCTAAGAAATGATTTGACACTGCTTAGTATCAGATATGCTTAAGTCAGATTATAAAAGGTGTACAGAAAACAACGTGCGCATACACACACTGCTTACATGGGCTAAAGAGGGGTGAAACCACTACAAAAACCCTTTTATGAAAGATTTTTTCATTTTAGAGGTTTTTTTTTTTTTTTGTTCAGCTAATGAAAAGACTTAAAGGACGTCACACTAACATAAGAACTAGGGATCACCAAATTAAATAAATAGATAGCAGGTTTAAAACAAACAAAAGGAAGTACTTCTTCATGCTACATACTGTCAATATTTGCAGCTTCTTGCCTGAGGATGTTATGAAGTACAATAATATGGCACAGTTCAAAAAAGAGCTAGATAAATTAATGAAGGATAGGCTCATTAATGGCTACTACTCAGGATGGAGAGGAATTGTGTCCCTAGCCTTTGTCAGAAATTGGGAATGGGTGACATGGGATCACTTGATGATTACCTGTTCTGTTCATTCCCTCTAGAGGGCACCTAGCATTGGCCACTGTTGGAAGACAGGATACTGGGTTAGATGGACTTTTGATTTGACCCAGTATGGCCGTCCTTATGGAGAAACCTTATTGAGACACTTGTCTTGTTAGTCAACTTATATTGGCCATGGTTCTGACTTTTCGTTTCCCTACTTTCCTCACAGGAGAAGAGACTAATTCAGAGAATGTTTAGTTCATAGGCTGGTGGAGAAGATCAGAGGCTGTATCTCTTGGGCACCCCTTTGGGGTAAAGATAGGCATCCCTCATCCCAGACATGTAAGTGTCACTGCAGATGCATTTTTGGAGTGCATGGCACAATCCTCAGCCTGTAAATCTCAGGGAGACAGCTCTCCCGCATCTGAGTTTAACAGCAGTCCAAAACAAAGCAATCAAGTAATCCTGCAACCCACAACCAAGCTTACTCTATAGTTTCTTACAAGAAAAATGGTAAATGGAATCTGATAAGGAGGTCTGGATTTCCAACACTTTGGGGGGGGCCAGCATGAGTACCTCATGTTTTCAACAGGGGCGGCCTGTGCCTATAGGCAAACTAGGCAGCCGCCTAGGGCACCAAGTTACATGGGGCGCCAAATTCCAAACCCTGCCCCTTCCATTTCCCCTTCCCTTTCCAGTGCCTTACCTGGAGCACAGCTTCCCTGCGGCCAGGAGGGGGGTAAGTACTGGGAGAGGCAGCACGCGGGGGAGGGGGGGGTCCCCT